CACGACCGGCATGGCTGGGCAGTGCCGCTCCGGCTGTCTCCTCGGGCTGATGCTGGCCTCAGCTGATGGCCTCAGCTGGCAAGTCAGACTCTTTCACTCCTTCTGGACAAAGAGGTTTTTCTCCTTAGCCTGCGCTGGTGCTTGCCTCCAGGAATCAGACTGATATCCCTATTTTTCTGCTCATAAAAGCTGGGAGGAAGCGGCCAAGGGCTGCTACCGCAGAGTCTGGAATCGAAGCAGCGCTGGAGCACGCAGTAGCGCGCGGTACGTGGTCTGCACTGCAATGTGCAGCTGCCCCAGCTATCTCGAGGTGACCCAGCACGGATACCAGGAGCTAGACGCACACCTGGAGTTCACCACGGGTAGCTGCTGCTGAGAAGCTGAGTAAATTTCCCTGTTTTACGCTTCATGCTATTCAAGGTGTTTCCGCACTCCTGCCGTAATGGAGTTGTGCCCGCCGAGGCGAAGAGCTCCAAGTCACGTCTGGACACCACCTCTCCCCTGTTTCCTGGCTAAGCACGTCCTACCCCAGAGGTGGAGCCTTTCCCACCATTAACTTGTCAGTTCTTGTACCCACAGAAATGTTAGCATCTCCCACGGCCTGCGGCAGGGACTGTAAATAGCTCAGCTATATGTTACGTGAAGAAATATCTCCTTTTGTTGGTTTTGGGTCTGGCACGCGAGTATTTCATTGGATGCCTCCTTGTGCTTGTGTGAAAACGGACTCAGTCAGCCAGTCACCTACTCCGCGCCACTCAGGCTTCCCAGACCTCTGTCACAGAGACCTCAGCCGTCTCTTTTCCCGGCTGGAGAGTCTCAGTCTATTGAGTCAGCCCTTACACGGGAACCGTTTGGAAGTACTCTGCTTTGCCTGCCTCAAAACCTGCAGCTCTGTCAGCCCCAGCTGAGATCACAGGGTAGCGGAGAGCGTGCCGAGACCCAGACGGCTCTGCGGGGAGGAAGCACGAGTCACAGAGCGGCTCTGCCGCGTCTCCCTTTCCCGGTGACACCTGCTTTCTCTTTGACTGCCGTCCTTAACAACCCTGCTCTGCTTTTGCACCAGGCAATGGCACAGCGCAAACAGAGAGCTCCGCTGCACACAATTATAACAACTCTAATGAGGCCAAACATCTAAGGAATTGGTGCAAAGTGAACTCAATTAGACAAACCCTCACGTTCCACTAACCGTGGATTAAGATTTTTAGCGCGTTAAAAGGATAACGATGCGAAGCGGGATTTTGGGAGGGACATCAGGGTAGGAGTCCAAAGCTTGAGACACTGCTGTGTGGACACAGGTTTTGCTGTGAAGCTTGCCCGCATAGGAGGAGCTCAGCTCCAAATGTTGAGCGTGCCTAAATGTTAAGGAAATTTTTGAAATGTGTTTGCACAAACTTGCGTTTTTTTTTCAGGGAATTTTGATCCACTGAGGCAGATCCGTAATGGAATACAGACCCTTATGTCAGAGGTAATCATGTATTATTACAAGAGCTGCTGGCTGTGGGGCCCCTCCTGTGTACACACATGGGTACATATGGAAGCTATTAACTTATTAAGTTTCAGCGGAGGATTTTGGGAAATTAACCTGTGAGTCTCCAGAGCACTGCTAAAGGACAGCTATTTGGGAGCAGGTTAAGAACAGTTTCCCGCTGGATGCCTGTGCCGTGTTGGGGCTGAAATCCAAGCCCTTCGCAGCCCGAGAGAGGAAGCCTCTCTCACGAGGACTAAACTTTCCAACTTCGGCTGTTAGGAAGAACAGTTGAAAAAAACCATCTGCAAGCCTGTATAAGTTTCCTCGACACACTGAAATGAGTCAGCTGGAGAAATGTATAACATAACGTATAAAAATGCAAACAATTTTCCCCTAGTCCCTCAATGGTGCTCAAGAGGTTCTGAGGAAGTTTGTAATTTTTTTATAAGTCCCTTTAGGAGCCACCAAAAGAAACGTTTGGATACAGGCCACTAGGACCTGCTCCTACATGGAAGAGGGCTTAATTCAGAGTCAGGGCGTTTAAAGTGAACATCTCGCACTCATTGATAGCAGCAGCAGACCTTAGATTGAAGTCACCCCTCAGAAGTAAACTTGTACGTTTGTACTTTTTCTCAGTAAGTTTTTTAAAATTCCTTTTCCAAAGTCCAACCAGAAAATGAGGCACTATTCTCTGCAACGTCTGCCACATCCAAATCGCTGTTCACATTCTCCTTCTCAAATTGGTTTCTTTGCTTGCACCAATCCTGATCTGAAAAGTGACCTCGCCTCTGGAGTAATGCGGAGAGTCACTCATAATGTGCCTTAAACTTTCATAATAAAACAATACTTGGCAGTCACTCATTGCGTTTCATCCACAGATCTCAAATTGATTCGCTACAGCCCTGCATGGAATTGACTGACTTGTAAGACAGAGACAAGCACTTGCTGTGCAATTAAAAAAAAAAAAAGAACAAAACGAAGCAGATTTTATTAAAATCCCAATGGCTTCCTCCCCCCTCTTAGCATGATTTTTTCTTTTTTTTTCCCTAAAGCACAATCCTGCCCACAAACGGAGCGCTTCCGCAGCCCTCGGCCGTACAACCCGCGATGCTCGTTTCAGGCCAAACGAGAGCGGT